CCCCTCCCCTGCGGAACGCCTCCCAGCCAATAGGCGGCGCCGCCGCTCCCCCCTCCCTCTGCGCGGTGACGTGCGCGAGCCCCGGGAAGAGGCCCTGGCGCGCGGGCGCGCGGCGGAGGCGGGAAGCGGTTGTGGGGAGCCGGCGCGTGCGGAGGCAGCGGCTCAGTTCGCCCTGAGGTGACGCTCCTGCGGGGTGAGGGCGGCCGTTCCTTCGGCCCCGGCCCGGCCGGCTCCGCGGGAGAGGGTCCGCTCTGTCTCGCCGCCGTCGGTGGCGGCTTTAGGCCCGGCCCGCCCCCAGCGGCACCGGCGGCCCCCCGCCCCCAGCTCCCTCTGAGGCGGGGGAAGCTGTGCCCGAGTCCTTTCGCAGGGCCCTGCGGCTCGGGGGAGGGGGCAGCGCTCCGCAGGCCTCCGGGTGCCCTCAGGGTTGGGGCTTGGTGGGGGGAGGTGAGGGGTGGGTCTCGTTGCTGACGGCGGGCACTACCGCCGAACACTTCCGTGCTTGTTTCCAGGGAGTTAGTGAAGAAGGGAGCTGACTTTATGGTATCGGGTGTGCTCGGAGCCTCGGCAGTGCTTTAAGCAGCTTCCATTGTTATCTGCGGGTTTCGGGTTTGAGTTTTTTGGTTTGGTGTGGTTTGGTTTTTTCCCCTGCTGAGTGTTTTGCGCGTTGCGGGTGAGCTGTGGAATGACCGTAACTTTGTTTTGGTACCTGCCTAGTTCGTGAAGAACTCTGCCGATACCGAGGACGTAGCACACCGGGTCTGCTAGTTAACGTTATGCCCAAAGGGTGAAGGAAAACCTTGGAGATGTGAAAGGTCTTTGGGATAAGGTTATTATTTAGCATAAGTGGTATTGGAGGTAGAAGATGTGCCCTCACTGTGCTACCAAACCTTTTGAAATGCAGAGATGTACTTTTCTATAGGGTGTTGCCTTTCCCCTAAGGCATGCTTATAATTACCAGTGTTTCGAAAGGGAAGATGGAGAAACTCAAGGTTTATGAGACCTTTTACAAAAGTACCATAACACAGTCATGCCTATAAAATCAGGGAGTTTCTGCTGGGAAATCGGTTAATGGGATGCATTTGTGGTTCTAGATGTCCTGCAAGTGCCCATAGTGGGGTGAAAGGAGTGACTATTTACTAATTGTGAGGAGTGACTTCCTTTAGTGAAGGAGGTAGTGAACGTTTTGGACTTACCATGGTATTGTGTTGTGATTGATGTGGTTCTAGCAGAGATTCGAGGGAGGGTCTGATGCCCTCTTTAGGCACTGATGTGCTGATAGTTGCTTAGGTACTGTAATGCTGTACCTCTTGTCATATGGAAACTACACTATGTAAATGTTTGTTTTCATAGATTTCCCCTAGCACAATTCTTGTGTCGTGTGAAAAAGGCTTTGTTGTGATCACTTAGCCTATCTGAATTGAATAACTCTTTAAGTTAATTGCTTTAACTTTTTTTTTTCTTCTCCCACACATGATTTTTCTGTAACCCATCCTGAAATTCTTTATTTTTAACTCCTTTCTATTACCCTTTCAGTGAGATACTTTAACCACTCTGCACTGGAGAGGAAGGAGTGCCTTCTTCACCTCTTGACAAAGTTGAAAAGTGTACTGAGAAAAGAATTAAACTTGTGCTCCTCTGTTAGAGGTGGAAAACCTGCACCTTTAAGGACAGCTGTGGCTCACAAGAACAACTTAACTTGGATCAGGAGGCAGTAGAGAGGCTTGCTAGTGCCCCAAGGAGAAGCTTGTTAGTGCAGGAATTTATAAGGTAGCTTGATTTCCCCCTCCACTGTTCTGTAGACCCTGTTGTGTGATCAGAGTGATGCATTCTTATCCTTCGATAGAGTTTTGGGCATCTCTCTTGGGTAAGAGAAGAAAGATTGAAATGTTTGCCTGTCCAGCATCTCCACATAGTTATAAGCCCCAGGTGGGTTGCTCTAACATGAGGTGGCCATGTCTGTACCTGGAACCTTGTGGGAAGGCTGAGAAGTGGAAGGAGTAATGTCTTCATGATGGTGACTGATTCGTGTTTGAAGGAGGGTTGCAGCAATAACTATGTACAGAGCTGGTAGGAAGTGGGTATGTCCTGCTAGCTACCTTTCTGTGCTGGTGAGCATAGTTACTGTAGGAAGATTTACCATATTCTTGCCTGGTTCTTTCTGTTCTTCATGTAAATGCTTTTTGCATTATGTAAATTATGATAGTGTGAGCTATCAGGTATTGTACAAAGCCAGCTGGGCAGCTTGTCATTTTTAATGGTCTTTTTTTTATAGCTTGTAGACCCGGCTGTGATCTCTTGAGACAGAGAGAGCTGAGAGGCAGTGCTGCAAGAAATGGTGTTGGTGATTGAATTAGCGATTTGTTGTTTGGTGTTGTAAAAGGGTTTTTTCCCCTGTATGCTGTGATGCCTGAAAGGAGAATGGGAGACTGTTCTACTAGAGGGACAGACAGAGGAAGTTGAGTCCTGCAAACATTTGATCAAAGTCTTATTTCCCTTTTGCAGAAGTGCCAGCCTCAGTATTCTGAGGAAATCCATCCTTGAATAATTATGTTCTGCCTTCTTAGTTTTTCTACAAGTGCATTAATTTTCCTTGCCTATCTCTAGCAGCTCATCTGTGCTGGTGTGTGTATTCTGTTCACTAGCAACAAAACATATGTCTATTTAAGAGTTTGTGCCAAGGTGAAAAATATATCAAAAAGGAGAAGCATTAGTTTGAAAATGTGGTTACATACATGCCTGTGTGGTTTTCTGGAAGTCCAGTTCTGAAAATTGTCCCTGGTTGTAGCTTCATCTCTGAGAGCTTCTTGAGCTCAATTTCATGGAGACTGTGCTAGAATGTCACTTTGTGACTAAATTAGTATCTTCTCCCCTTCTCATTAACTGAGAATTTTTTTGTTTTCAGCCTGGCTCTGTTGCTCCAGGTGTTCCCTACTAGCAGCTCTGTCCCCAGCAGTGACCTTTGTCATTGAATCTGGCGTAGTTCAAACCTGATTCTCTCTTCCTGTTTTCCTGTGGTTTGCAATGCAACTGTTGTCTGGCCAAGCAGAGTACAAGGATCTATTGAGGAAGCTGCTCTTTCTGTAAGAACTGAAAACTTGATGGAAAGGGGCTTGGCTCAGGGAAAATAACACGGGTGATTCTGCAAAGCAAACCTGCCAGATCTCTCGGAAAACAAATTTTATTGCCCGACTGACTATCGGAAAGCATTTGCAAGGGCTTTTTGGCGTTTTAAAGATTCCACAAATGCTTAAGAAGGTCTGTAGGGAAAGGAGGGAGCTGTGAGGAGATACTTTGGTAGTGGTTGGGGAACTTGCTCGGTCGCTTTGTTCCTTTACTGCTTGTAGTAAGGGAAAGGAAGTGTGATCCACAGTAAATGGCTAATACAAGTGTGTGCTTAATTTCCCCTACCCTTGCTCTGATTTCATAATGGGGGAAGAAAGTCTAAGTTTACCGTCAAGAAGGCTATGTACATTTTTTTCTTGAACAATGTAAAGATTAAATGAGTTTCTTTTGTCATTAATTATTTGCTATCCTTTTCTGGTCTAGCTAGGCAACAATGGCAGGTGAAGACTGTGTAAGAAAACGCCAGTCTGGCTCCACTAAAACCTGCAAGACCCCTGAGAATGAGGAAATGCAGAGGAGACCTGAGACCGAGAGGTCATTTCAAAACTCAAGCAATGGTGAGACTCTTTCGCTCGGGATTAGTTGCAACTCTGGCATGTGATCTCCTCTAAGGTGTCCTTTCTAGCTCATGGCTCTTGCCTCTTTGCTCTTTCATTTCAGTTTTTCTGCTTGTTGAAAGGCTGCCAAAGTGGAGCTCCCTGTGTACCAGCTGCTCTTCTTCAGCAGGTTTAGGTTGTTTGGAGTGCTGTCCTACAGAACTTCCCCTCAGGGGCTGCGTACAGCAGTGCTTACAGGGATCTAGAGTAAAGAAAGCGATTAAATGTCACAAGACAAATGTGTGTGATGAGGAGGAGATGCTTTAATGCTGTAAATGGTGCAAATGCATCTTGACAAGTATGTGGCTTCCTCAAGATTGAACAAAATGGACTTTAACATACCAGGCTAAGCTGGTGTATCCATCCTGACAGACAGATGTAGGTAGGATGCCACAAAGAATGATTCTTTGCTCCTGTGGGGCTCTGTTAATGTCAGAGCAGCTCCATTCTATCCAGTCTCAACCTTGGCTGCCATAAAATAGAACAATAAACAGTTGGTTTTGTGTTAATTTATATTGTGGTCACCTTAAAAGTTATGTGGTTTATAGTTGGCTTTGTGGAAGGGTCACTGCTGTCTATGTCCTGTCCCTTGAGTTGCAGGGACAGCTGTGTGGCAGTATGAGTGGTTTTGCCTGTGGACTCTGTGGACACTGTGACTGTCTCTAATTGTTGGGTTATGCACCACATTCCAGCCCGGTGATAAGGAGGTTAGCAATGAAATTGCAGCTTTTTTCTTTTCTCTTTGGGAGACGGAATAAGCAAAAAGCTAAACTAGTTTATCAAAATATGCCACGTGAGTATAAGCTCCAAAACCCTGGTGCCAGTGACTCAAGGAGATAATTCTTACTGGTATGCTTCTGAATATTGTCACTATTTCACAGTACTACTTTCAACTGAAACAGGAGTTCCAGCAAATTTAAGTTTAGGACAAGTCAGATTTCTTCTTGCAAAAAAGATATTAGAGAGAAAGCCATCCCACAAACTACTTAAGAGAACTGGGATTTTAAGCTGTTGGTGGTAACGCCATATTAATTGAATCAAATGGGACTGTGCCATTAATGCTGTTATTACAAAATTGCATGGAGTTGATGGCTACTGGAAAACAGTTATGGTGGATTTGGAAGCAGACTTCTACTTTATCTATGGAAACACGTTAACTCTTATGCATGAATTTGAGTTCTTGCAAGCTTGTGGGTAAAGAGTAAGTATAGCTGTGATAATAAGTACTTGATAGGTGGGTGTGCCTGTTGTAAAAGCCTTTCATTTTAATACCTCTGAGATGTAGTGTAATGTCACTGTGGGTGAGATACTGTGGCTGCATAGCAAGTAAACATTCTGGGGTAGATCTCTTCAAAGTGTACTGAGCTTTCACGCGTGTACACATGCCTGGTGGGTTGGCTTAGAACAATGCAGTGTGTTTTAATACAGTACGAACTGCAGTGAAGGGCAGCAAGGACAGTGGGGAGGAATCCTGGTTAGTTAAGACTAGGTGCCTCTTACCTTCCAGGGTTGCTGCCAATTCAGCGGAAGTGTCACAAAGACTTAAGACCAGTTTTTGCAGATTATTTGCAGAGCACAGTGATGGGGACAACAGGAATGCCACAGGAAGGTAGGAGGCATGAGTGATGCCTGACCATATCACAGGCCTGGGAGGAAGATGCATCGATCTGGACAAAAATTCCCCCGTACAGTGGGGTTAAATCAGCATCTCTGTGACACAAAGGTTGAAGCTTTACAAAATTGAAGTGTTCGTGTGTTTCAGATAGTGGCCTTTTCACATAGTCCAGTATGCTTGTCTAAGTAGGTAGGGCTTTCTGTGAAAGCACAGCTGAGGTGGAAGAACTTCTCAAAAGAAGTAGCCATAGACTTCTTTTCTCACTTTCTTTTGTGCTAGCTATTCACTTCTGAATAGCTGTTTCTAAGGCATTAGTCCTGATGTGTACAAAGGCAGCATGAAGCTAATGATCTGCTGTCTGACAACATCCTTTTTACACCGTAGCATCTTAACACTGGGTGTTGTGTAGAATTTTAGACAAGATGCATGTTTATTCCAGTCAAGGGATTCTAGCTAGGTGAAGACAGTATCTTGTATGCGAGTAAATATGTAGTGTCTTTGTAGCAATTATCTCTGTAGAAAAACTAAATTGCTAATGTGATTTCCCACCCTTGATTCTCCCTGATTAGCAGACACGATCTGACTTACGAGTTAATGTGTCAAGGGCCGATTGACTTGTTTCCAGAAGTGTGTGAACTTTGTACAGAAAATTCTAGGCCATTAATCTTTTCTTTATTAAAACTCAAATGCATTGGCTGATCTGAAATTGCCTGGAGGAATAATTTTAATCCATATACTGGCTTTAGAGCTACATTAGGTCTTACTCTTCCATTTGTAGAGTTTAGCTTCTTTTTCCTTGCCTCATCAATTCTGTTGAAAACTGTCTCATTGCTTGCCAAGTTCTAAGACTGAATAGTTTGTACTCCAGTACCCCCAAATTTATAGCGATATGGAAATACTCATAGCTTTGAGATTGCCAGAAGAATTCTTCTGTCCCTTGATGCATTTGTATCTTGTAATCATTCAGCCTGTAATTTTGCTTTGACAGAGTAGCTGAACTTCAGTCTCATATATCACTTCTCCTTGAATTGGCTCTAGTGTCATAATTAAACAACTAATTTGGTCCGGGCATAGAGTCAACAGGTGACCTAGGCAGCAATAATCCCCTGTCAAAAGCCAGGCTTCCTTAATAAGATTAGTCTTATATGTTTTGAGCTGGAGATACATAAAAAAAAATAAAACTATTCTGCTTGGTAGGATATTGATATCTGGCAGTACTGGTTGCAGGAAATCTTAACCTGGAAGGAGCGTAATAGAAACTGCATGGGCAGATCTGAAAAGGTTAGGGAGGCTCTTAAGCGTGTATCTGAGTGCCTCTAAAATGCTAAGATTAGACCATTCACAACAGTGAACTGATGGTTTTGGAGTCTGCCCTTGTTTCCTTAGAAATCAGAAAAGGATTAGAAGTGTCTCCGGAGACTGATCTGCAAACAAGTTATGTGGCGTATCTTTGGTGTGAGTAAGCCTGTTCAGTAATGCTGATCTTGGAAAGGGGTTGTTATCTTCCAATGAAGAAGTTACTATTGATCATTCTCAGTGCAAAAGTTCACGACACTGCATGAATTGTGTGTGCCTACTGATAGATGTAGGAGGAGGGAGCTCTGAAACAGGGAGCAATTTGGAAAGCTTCAGGGTTTGCTGTCTGACTCACAGCACTGAGTGTATCAACGTTGTATCAACAGGCTATTTCTTATGAATTAGTGAATTTGTGATTAAGCTGCTTGAATTGAGTATCTTGGATGTGTTTCCAGGAGATGTGTCGCAGAGCTGTCTTGTCTGAGACTAGCTGGATTCTGGTAATTCCAGGCGCTCTCATATTTTGCAACCTGTGGGTTTGGTGAAGGCTGAGCAGATTCTTGTGAAGAGCCTGTGGGCATGGTGGCATGATGTAGAGAATGCTGGTGTTTCCTCCTGCTAGTGAAGAGGCTGTTTGGGTGCTGTGTCCCTGCAGAAATGACTTTAACTGAATTCCTTGTCCATCTGCACTGCAGTGGCCTATGCGTTCTTTAAGCAGATCAGCTGAGCTCTGGGAGCAATCTTGTCAGAACTTGCCTCTACCTGCTGAGTGGCCAAATAAATTACCATAAGTAAGAATAAGGCCTATTAGCACTGAATTATTAACATATGTTGTATTGTACCAGATAGAGAAGACTTCCCCTCTTTACAGTAGCCTTGCACTAAGTTGGCTTTAACACTACTTTCCTTCAGATAACATCTTCAGTGTTTTTAGAGAGGGAGCCTTTGAATCCAGGTAGCTGACACTAACGAAATCCTTCTGCGTATGTTGCTTTAACCTCTCAAGTGGCAAGTTGTCCGATCAAGAAATGATGAAGATAATATATTTAAACCCTTTTAGAGAAGGGCAGTATTGGGTACAGTTTGTATCTGTGACTCTCCATGAAGATCCTGAAGTTAAACAGATTCTGACATCATTAGGGGAAAATGCTTCTGACCTGTGAGTGTGCTTGGTTGTTCTGAGAAGTGTCTTTTTTTTGAAGTACGTGTGGCAATAAACTGAAGTTTGTTCATGTGCTTTTCCTAGCTTTTCTGTGAAGAGGCGTTTTTGTCTTGAATGCTGTGCAGGGATTTAGAGAGCAGTAGTCTCCCTGGGTTGTTCTAACTGCTCAGTAATAAGCTTATTGCCACAATGCAGCAACAGTTTGAGTGGCAATGGCTCAGAGTGCTGGGCTGCAGGCAGCTTCTGTGGCTGGTGAGGTCATTACAGGCTGGAACTGTAACACTGCATGCAAGCTGTGGCTTTACTCAAATGACTTATTCCCACTTGTGCCCTTGGTGGTAATTGCAGACTGTAGTGGTTAAATAAAATGAATGCGGTTTAACACAGTTAATTTTTGAGAGCTTGCCTAGTAGAGGGCTGGCTAGTGTCTTACATACAAGCTGTTTTTGTTGGATCCCAAGCTGCAACACTAACAGATCATATGAATGGGATACTTATCTCGTCATCTCAAATGTCACTATCTGTAACATGTATAAGAGTAGGTTGAAAAAGGGACAATGAGATCCTTTAAGAAAGGTAGCTTGTAAATCTTTTGTGAAACTTAAGTTGCTCAAATTTTCAACAATAAGAAGCTTTCTCAGTCTTCAGGTGATCTTTTATTAGCCTGATTTCCTATGGAAACAAAGCTTACATTTAACTTGCTCATTTCTTTATTTCTGACTTTTGAACCTGCTTGGAATTTGGACTGTGCAGAGTTGTCACATCCTACAAGGATCAGTTTCTAAAGCCCAAGACAAGTGGTCAGCTAAAGATCTTATCAATAATGTCTTTGCTGATGGGAAGCGAACACAACTACCATTAAGTTAAAACGTCACCCTGTGAGTAAAACTCTTTCAAAGCAAACCCTGCTTCAGTCTCCTGTGAAACTTGTTACTATTTCATATTAGTCTTCAAAGATGATTTTCTTCCTTATGACTTTAAATATATTTCCCATTTTCTTAAGGCATATCCCATCTTGTTTTAAATGCTAAGATGTGCTTGCTTGTCTTGTGCAGCCTTGAGTCCATTTTTTTTAATGATGTCGCAGTGCCAAAGTGATACAGAGGGATCCAGTCTTCATTTTCAGTGTCAAAGGGAAATGAAGATTTAGACTTCTCAGAGTGCACAATTCCTTTATGAAGGAATGAGACTCAAAATCATGTGATGTTTCTCTTCTCGAATGACCTCACAGAACATAAGTAGCAGTTTGCACAACAGAAGATGAATGATTCAAGAAGATGATGAATTATGTGTTCTCTGGTGTCTGCCTTGTGACACAGCTTGAGTTTATGGTGTGATGTAACACAGCAGAATGAGTTGTTTTGGGGTGGGTTTTCTTCTACAGGAGACTCTTCTAGAAAAGAAGCAACAAGCTTACAGGTGGTTTTACTTTGTTTTATGAGACACATATACTAAAGACACGGAGATCTTGATTTTAAAGCATTTTAAAAGATGCTGTGTTTCTAGTCTAGTCTGTGCACACGCACCAGCGTGTGGGTGAATAAAGTGATAGGAGGGACACTGCATACAATTTAGCAATTACAGCGTCAGCAAGTCAGAGTCTAGCCTTGTTTCCTGTACAACCATTAAAGCTGTACATTAGCTATCTGTAAAACTATATCCATCTTCAAGGCCTTGTAAGTCAAAAAGGGAGTTTTATTTCCAAAGTGGGCTGCTCCTGGGTAGTTATAACAACTGAGACTTCAAATGCAAGATCTGACAGGAAATGTATAGTCAAAGCAGTGGCTATTTATTTTTAGCTTGGCTTACAAAGGAAATGGTGCAGTCCATTAAGTCTCATGTGTCCTGTCCTCTTTGGTGGTCTTGGACAGCTTCAGGCAAACTTGATAGTCATGAAGACTGGCAGCTGGATGAGACACAAATTCTTACCTTTCTACAGGAAAAGGTTAGTTGTGTTTTGAGCTCAAAAGCTCTTTCTGGTCTGCTTGCTAGCAGATAAGCACAAGGCGGTTCTTAGTGTAGTGGTAATAGGGGGAGGGGGCTATGAATACAATTGTGGAGTGGTGCAGTGAGGAAGTAGAGCCACTGAGATGATATGAAGGGTATACAGTTCTGCTGCTTGTGGAACAGCTTGATTTATTTTTTTTATTTTTTTTTATTTAATTTACTAGGGGGGAGAGGGAGGGAATCCGTTTGAGACCAGCAAAGCGCATGAGCTGAGTGGGACAAGGGACTCTCCAGTGGTATCTTACACTCTTGTCTCAAATTGTTTTCCAAACTGCTGCTGTTTGGCAAGTGTAACAGCATGAGCTTAAATGCTGAGGTAATTTTTTTGTCTTGGAGGTGAGATGCTTAGCAACCAGGAATTCTATTTTTGTAAAAATGGATCTTTGCATGCAGCCAAAAATTCATGGTGTTAAGAAGTTTCCTTGTTGTTGCTGCATTACAAGGCTGCTAAGTAATAGGCTGTTGTTGCTGGTCTGTTTGTAAGTCTATAGTTTATGGAGCAGTTTTTATAAACAAAAAATGATCTTCCTGCTTGATTGGAGTATGGGGTGTAGAAAAAATGCTGACAGCTGAGCATAGCTTCATTGAAGATAAAGTTTCTTGTTTCATTTAACTCTCCTCCGGTATTGGAATGGGAGTTATCTCTGAAACAGCTCTATCTAAATGTCATACAACTGGTTGCTCATAAGAGCACCTTCAGACTAGTGTGCATCACAGAAGCGCTTGCGTTATTAAAACAACACACTGTGCATTTTGTGTGCATAGGCTGCACACATGCAAGGAGGACAAGACAAGGAAGGCTGCATTATGAACTGTGATATTGCTATAAATCTGTTTTCTCATCACACAGCAGCACAGTGTTGCCACCTCTACTGCAAATCTCTTGGCTCATGCTTCACTGGAAATGTTCCTAGAGAATCAGTTCAGTATCCTCTTTTTCTAAGAGTGGTAGTGTCATCTTAGCTACTGAACATGCAAGTTGTAACACTAGCAATGTGTTACTGTATAAGGTACCGTTGTAGCTATAATTGCCAAAGGACATGCACAAGGCAAGGTATGTTGCTACCTTTTCACCCTGACTAGTGAAAGAGGGGTGGATATTGCTGCTTTAATCTTGCTTTTCCTTCATGTGCAAGACTCTCTGTGTTAAGTAACTTTATCTTCTGTGTTGTAGTTCTTATTGGAGAAGTGAAATGCCAGCTGGCTTGCCAGCACTCTACAACCATTGCAGACAAACCTTGTCTTAAAACTCAACTAGTCTGAAATGTCTGATTTGTGTATGTTGCTTCCTCTTGATGTAACAGAGGCTTTTCAGATGTGTATAGTTCTTTATGCAAAAGAAAGGTGATGTTTGAGGCTTTACATATTAGCCAATGGTTTTAGTAATGATAAAAGTCAGATGATGTTCATGGCATGGTTAGACCTGACTGTTTGCTTAAGTGATGAACCATATTGAGGAATACAGTCAGACTGATACCTAGCACTTCTCCTGGGGGATGAAAGGAGTGGGAGTAGCCAGGTTTGAACAGAGGATAACCTTCCAACTTGCCATTTAGCCTGTCTTCAGAGCTGGTTACGGTAACAAATACTCATGACTTCACTGCCTTGTCTATTGGCAATGTAGAGACCTCCAGACAACCTAATCTTACGCCTAGTTCACTGTGTGTAAGATAAAGCTGTGATAAAAGATCAGTACACTTGGATATGACCTTCTAAGGGTTGTTCCATTTGCTGCTTCAAGGCTGAATATGTTTAGGGACCTTGGGAAGATTTGCAGAGTTGCTGATGGAAAATAAAGCTTTTGAAAATCCAGCATGTTATCAGCTGTTGACTGCCTTATAGTGCCGTGATCTTAAATGGCTGTTTAAAATACTTGGTCATAGCTTATGAATTTTCTGCAGCTTTGTTTTGAACTTGCTGGGACCTTATTAGAAGTCAGAAGCACTAATGAAAAAAATCAGTGACTCAGCTACTGTATGTTGTGCTTTCTGTGTTTTCAGACATGCAGCTTGCATCACTGAAAATGCAAACGTTAAATATTTGCTTTCCTTCCTTAGGCCGGGTTGATGTTGACCATGTGATAACAAGGAAAATGCAGCTAATAGCAGAAGCTGAGGTAAATATACTCTAATGCTTGCTTACGGGGAGGAGCGGGATAATTGACCCCAAATGTCTTTTGGACACAAATATCCCTATTCAGTCATAGCTTGAGTGCAGTGATTTTTTTTTTATACAGCCCTCTTTCTATCTTCCTTCTCTCTTCTGACTTTGCACAAGAGAGGTGGTATTATCAAATGCAGTTCTGTCTTACTTGACCCCAACAGGTTGAAGTCCAAAGATAAGAATGAACTTTGAGGCCTGTAAATAAAATGGAACTTCCCTCACCACTAACTTTTGGCAGTGTGATTATCAGCTAGCATACTTGCATATTTAGTCTTTAGAATGCTCTGTGTCCTGCGATCCACTGAACAAAGGCTAGCATGTAACCTGTATCCCACAGCTTCTGTTGCCCTGGGTATGGAAATGACCTTCCTGAGCCTTGGTCCCACTCTTTTTGTCAGTGAGCAATATGCCCAAAGAAAATAGCACTGTGTATTTGTAACATTATTACATTTGTGTGAGCTGCCATTGTCTTAGGTTATGTTAAGGTGATTTATGCCCAAATTAAATGAAGTTAGCTAACAATGAACTGCACCCTCCTTGTTAACCATTGTTTTGTAGCACACATGTTCTTCAGGCCAAATCGTCCTGTACTCTTGCTTAATTTTATTGCAGAGAATTCCATGGTAAAGATGAAGTAATCTAATTGTGCCACTCTTATGTGAATATTGGGAGTGGATGTTTACAAGACAGAGAAATATCTTGCACCTTTCAGAAGTTTTCCTGTTTAAAAGTCTTTTCACCTCTATAGGCAGTGTGTAATTTGTAATAGGTATAAGTAAAGTATATTTAAACGTCTTCTGCAAAGAGTGTACTGCTTTTTGTGCTGAAACTCCTGAAATTCAGCACATTAGAGGAATAGTCAGCTCTGAATTTTATTTCATGTGTTGTCTTCTCTGAATGAGAAGGACATGATAGAGCAAGCCTCTCATCTTTTCTCTGTGGATAAAACAGTCACTGCAAATCACTAAGTTGGCAACAGATGTCTGCATGAGAAAGCTTTGGCTGTTAAGCACACGTAGCTTTAAGTTCTGTGTTCCAGGGAGCACTAGCTGGTTGCAAGGGGACAAATTGATCTTTGATTTCTTTCTTCAGAAATGTCTCTTGTTTCTAAATTTTTTTTTTCTGGCCTCCAGCTTTGAGATACACTAGTTTGTAGACAAGGTGATTTCTTGTCTGCAAAGAGAATTCAAGAAAACCAGTAGTGGCACTTTAATTACTGAAGCTTCTCCCAAAACACAGAGAGCTCAGGTTTTAAACCCTGAGTTAAGCAGCTTGCAAATTTGTTTAACATCCCTCAAAGCTACAACAATAGCTATAAAGCTAAGTAAAAATCTCCATCTACTGCAAAATTCCTGAGAATTCTGGAGTGCCTGGCCCTTTTGTTGTGTGAACCACTGAACAAAGGCTTGGATTGCAGTTTACCTTCCAGGTGACAGGTATCTGAGGTCTAGAAAGATGCTTCACTCAGAAAAGTGCTGGTCACTGGCAACTCTGACTGATTTAAATGGGATTTGTAGGTGCTAGGTGCTATTTATGCATAGGATGCCTTCATGCATCTGTAGTCCAGTCTGAAAATCTAGTCCTTTGTTCATCCTAAACTGGGTTAAGAATGGTGTATTGTGTCACTTGGTCAGGGCTGGATGTTGTCATGTTTCAGTGACTGAAATTACTAACTCCGTTCGAATGAGTAAAATGCTGGGGAACTTTTGCAACTTTTAAAGTAAGCTACAGGGTTACTTCCCTCAACTCTCTCTGACTTCTCATCAGTTATTGGCCAGCTTCTGGCTGGCATGGCATTCTTTTCACACTAGTCTCCCTTTTTGGTTTTGTAATGATCTGATTCTTTTGTTAAAAACTTAATGGTGACAGCTGAGTGGATCTGCCCAGTTTCTTGTTTGAGACTTCAGGCATACTTTAGGAAACTCTTGGTTAAGTGCTTTCCGTTGGGGGAAGCTACGACAAGGCCATCTGTGCATCCGTGCCCTGTCATAGTGAAGGCTGGTGGGAGGTGTATTCTCTTTAAGTTTCTTTTTTTTGGTGACTGGCTAGAATGCATTTGGCTTATTGAGCACTAACATTACTCTGGCAATTGCTCAAGTAGATTTGCCCTTTGAATGGCAGTAGTAATAGTTGATAATATAGCATGATATGTTGTGCAGTTTTGTGATATAGAATTACAATTACTGTAGGGTCTATGCTCTGGTTGTATTTTATTTAATCTATTGAGAACTCATGTCCTGCTCTCCCAATCCAAACATGCATATGTTGGTATTAGCCCTGGAGGGTTGTATTAGGAGGAGGCAGTCTCAGCAGAGTGCCAACTAAAGGGAAGAGGTAGTTTAAGGAAATAATTTCTGTTAAACTCTTGCTGAGAAGAGATTAGGCTGAAAAAGGGGGAGAGACTAAAAAAAAAAAACCAAAAAAAATGGAGTTTTGGTAGGGATGAATAGTGCTTTGTTTGGCATGGAAATTTGAGTGCCTCGAGGAGCAGGAATTTCTATTTGACTTTCTTGGTAGGGATATGTGCATGCAAGCTGTAAAAGCAGGCTGTGCCAGAGAGCACTGGTGTCTTCTGTTACAGGTCATAGTTCCAAAGTACTCAATGTTTTGGGTTTTTTTTTCTCTTGTTTTTAAAGGAACAAGTCCACATCTCTTGCAGAGACAATCTTCTTCTCTGCCTACCAGAAAAGCAATATTTAAGAGTAGCCAGCTCCTAAGAGCTTCTGTTTCATTAAGCACTGGTGAAGCTTGTTTATTCTGTACTGGCAGCTGCCAAATAGGGGAAAAATGTTTTTATTAAGTTAAATATTAATCTGCGCCTCCTACTGAAGCTTCTGTTTCAAGAGATCGCTCTGGATCTGACCATTATGAAACAGGAGGAATGTAGAGTTCTGATGCATCTTGACTTCAGGGTCTTCCGGTTTTATGTGGTCTCACTTCAGATTGTCTTGTATTTCCTGCCAGAGAGTTAGACTTGCTTACTTGGCTGTTGTTGCATTAGAGAGTAGTATTTTGTAAGAATACATCATCTATTAATATATTATGTTAGCCTACAAGTTTTGATTCTAGAGAGGGCTTTTTAGCTTAGTTTTTTGGGTGATCTACTGTATAAAATCAATCCAAGTGTGATTTATGCTGGAAAATGATGGATATATCATGGATGACAAGTGTCCATCAGTGGAAATAGACTCCTTAAAATATAGCTGTGGAAAGAGCTTTACATAGGGGGCAGACATACCACTGCTGCAGCTTAGACCTAACAGATCCTGTTTCAGTTATCTGGCTTTTCTTTCTTTTCTTAGACCTTGTGCCTGTTCCTTTTTAGCAAAAACAATGCTGTTCCAGCTTTCTTTAGCATAATAGTTAGCCACTGAAACATAAACACCTACTGACAAATGAGCTCAAGTGTCACACATGCCTTTTTGAGGAAGTGTAATTTTTGTGCACAACTTCCAGGCTTTCTTTCCCTCCTTGAAAATGGATTTCTTGGTTTTGTTACTTTTCAGCTGTAAAGATTACAAAGTAGGTAGCAGTCACCCTGAAGGTGATCAGGGAAACATATATGTTTCTTAAGCAGCTGATCAGTAGGAAGACTAGATGAAATAATATGTGGTTAACATGTAGGAAGACTTGGACCTTGAATTTGGAAGCAAACTTGAAAAATCCCAGGCAAAAGGATGGTCAGACAAATGTTGCTAGTAGACACTTGCATAAGAAACCAAAACACAGTATCCAATTAGATTTGAAATCATTTCTTGAAACTTGCCTATTTCCTGTGCTGAAGATGATGGCTATCTGGCAGAGTGTTCTCAAAAGTTTTATGGGTCAGGAGCTCAGGGGATAGCTTCCAGCCATGCTTCATCACTAGGCCCAAGTATTGGGAAACCTTTTGGTGTCTGAGGACTTGATGTTAAGGAACTAAATTCTCTTAAGTCTTATAAATCACTGTCTTCTGAAGTACCAGAGATCTAAGGATCTTTAGATTCCCAAAGTTCTCACTGAAATACAATGAATGTATGTTCTTGTTTTCTTGAGGGAATTAATTTTGCCTGCCTTTTTCTAGTCATAAGAATAACATGCCACTCTGCAAATCTCAGGATCCTCTCTGCATATAAAGAGTAAGAGAATTTGCACCACAACAAAAAGCTATCCAGAGCTCAGTGTAGCACTTTCTGCAGAAATAAGTAACTTTGAACATTTAATCATTAATTCTCCTCTAAATGCATCTGGTTTTAAAAACTCTGCCTGGGGTGTGGAAGATTAGGTCTTTGAAAGCTCATGTTATGAGACTAAATAGCAGATTCAACTATGTTGCAGACAGGACAATACAGGAATGAGTTACATGTGCTAGTCTTCAGGCAAGACAAAAGGGATATGAAAACATCTTGGCATTTTACAATCTGCCTTTTGAAGATGAATTATAGTCCTTCTCTGGATGACTTACTGATGAGGGGGATGCTCATCAATGGTTTTTCATGCACCCTTAGAAGTCAAGGTCTCTAGTAAACCAGATGCTTCAGAAGTTGCCTTTGTCTAATAAAATGAGAGAAGAAAAATATGAATAGGCTAAAATGGTGCAACTTTGTCACAGAACTTTGTAACAGAACCTGTATAAAGCTGTCTGAAGAAAAGGGAGCGTATGAAATTCAACTAGGATATTTGATCCCCTGAATTCTTGAACTTCAGTCTTGCTGCCTACCAGTTTTCTCTCTTGCTGCTCAGTCTTAATGCTTAGCAATGGTACCCTGTTTTGTTGCTTTAGTGGAAATTTTCCGTGCATTCTGTAATTTCAGTGGTATGTGGAAGTTTTAATCCAGTGGTAGCAGTGGAAGGGTAAATTTGGTCCTTCTTCCTGTACTCACATCATTGAGATTGCTTCTGTGTTAATGCATGAGAACATCGAAGGTGATTGCTTAGCCACAAGCATGGAAAGGTCCATTTTTCCCTCAGTAACACTAGATGGGTTAAAAAGTAAATCTTGTTGTACTTGTTTGGTATGCTAAGGTTGTAACTGGTTAAAATTGAGAAAAATTTTCTGGGGCTCATGTGTTAAGGTTAGCTCAACCTTTTTGGCACCATAAAATATGTGAAATACCTGCCACTCCAGACATATATATGAAGAGCAGTATGTTTACTTTATTCCTCTGTGTTGCATCTGATAGAGAAGATAAACATTACTCAAAGTCCTCTGGCCTGAGGTGTGTGAACAGGCCAGGATAAGTCCCTGATCTTGTCCAAGTTGGCTCCAACTGTTGGCAGATGATACAGGAATGTTTTCTTGATGCCTTGCTCTGCCCTGCTCCAGGATAAAAAGGAATATAAATATTTTATGAAAATGTATCCAGAAGAGTTAAACAATTTTCTGCTCCTTTTTTCACTCTATCAGCAATTGAAGCCAGCTTTCATGAAGGAAGTAGACAGTCACTTCATGGAGTTTGTGAACAGTTTGGTGGCAAAGTCAGCACTCCTGGATTCCTCATCTTCAGCCTCCCTCTTCCCAGCTTCCTGCTCAGAGAAGGAACTGCACAAAGCCAAGTAAGTCAGTTTTAAGCTGTCCCTATAACAAGGTTATGTTTCCTGGAAGCCTTATTTCCTTTCTTGTCTCAAATGTTCTCCTCTTTGTTTGCAGGACCTTGAGGGCCCCTCCAGAACATGGGAAGATCTTTACTGCCAGAAGGTCCCTCTTGGAGTGAGTAACTTAACTTCACGTTTTCTATTAAATTGACTGAAAATACCCTTGACAGCAAACTAACTAGCCTTTGCTTTGAGGTACTCTCCCCACCACCACCTGTGGTCTTATGTTCAAATCCCCGTGGACTAATCCATTTAAGCTTCTCTGTTTCTTTCTAAAACATCTCTACTACAGCTTGCAGTCTTCCTGACTATAAACCTTAATTACAGTCCTCTCAGTACCACTAAGATAATGGCTAATTATCCTTTGTCTGAGGATAAACCAAGGAAGTGTCTGTGTAGACTGACAGCCAAACTGTGCGTTAACTTGAGTCTTTTGAATGGGGATGGCAGTGATGTCATCTTACCTTACTGTGAAACACTTTGAAAGCTAACATGCTAGAGGTGTGGTATGCTATGTGAATGGCCTGATAGCATTTGAATCTCTCCCATAGTGAGCTGTTTGAAGTGAGTCACATCAGGACAATCTACCACATGTTCATCGCTCTTCTCATTGTCTTCATCCTCAGCACACTTTTAGTAGACTTCATTGATGAAGGAAGGTAAGAATACTTTGGAAAGACAGGGACCAAGGCTGGGAAATGCTCACTTCCAAAGTACCACAGGTACATGAAACTCAGAATGGTGCAGAAAGAAGGGGGAATCTTGCCTTGGGATGTTGTTGGAAGGGGGGTTTTCAACTTGACATACTTAAAATATATGCTAGAATTCCTGTTGAGGGTATATGATCATTTCAAATCAGATAGCTAGATGTTAGGAAAATCCTACAGATTGGTGTATTCCATGAGAATTATGGCCAGCACAGTTCAGCCTAACACTCTTACTTCATCACAAGGCTGGCAAAAGGAAGGGGTCATTATTGAATGTGGACTGCTCTAGTTGAATATATTTAATGAAACAGTAGCTTTCAGCTGCTTGTGTTGCCTGAAGGAGGACTGTGTTTAAATACTTCAGCAGTCCTTCCTCTGTTTAAAAATGACAGTTCTGGAACACTGTACTTGTGCTCCAATAAAAATAGAACTTCTTTTTCCTGGGGAAAAAATCTCAAGGATATTGGTTAAGATTGTGCTTTGCAGGTAGCCAGTTCTGAACAAGATTGTGAAAGACTGCTTTCCTCACACTCGCTTGTTGCTTTAAATAGTATCTTTTTGGCAAGCTGTATCCCATGTACACAAGTAGGATTACATGTTTATCTTGCTGATTAGCTGATCCTCAGTGTACAAAACTAGAGTTGTATCTTGATTATTATTGTTCCTCTTGTCTAGATATAAGAACAAGCTTGTGCACTATTGAATATTGTTTAGCTGATCCTAACTTAATAGTGTATGGACACTGGGGGAGAACAGGTATTTACCTCTAAAATCAACTAATAGGGCTGGATTCTCTGATTACTTTAGAAAAAAAAAGAGAGGAAAAAAAAATATCATTGCTGTGGTCGCAGCTAGATCTGATAGTTTAGATCCAGTTTGCAACTGAGCCTCTGCATGAGAACAAATAAATTGTGTTGGTGTACTCTGTACTACCTTCTTCTCTGACCTTGTCTTAGAAGAGCTGCTTTTGCGTAGGAGTAAGCTCTGGTGACTTTAGTCAGTAAGGCTGAACATCCTTTTGTTTATGTCGTTATGTTTTAAGCTTGATTAATAAAGTACCTGGTGCACACCATGTGGACATATTTGAACTGACCATCTGATGACCCTAAGCCTTTTGGGTGACTTCTAAATTGAATCCATGTGGAATGCCTACAGTTTTCACAAAGCAGAATTAAATTAGGTTTGAGTGCTAGATGTTAAAATACCTCATGCCTACAGAGGTGGGGAAAAAGCCTCTTTAAGTGTTAAACTCCTGGGAAGAACTGATTCTTAATGTAATAGTGATGATGTCTTTGGAGTGTTCCCCAAAAGCTCTTTTGGACCCTGGTTCAGCAGTGGATCATTTAGTCACGTGCTTGTTCTTAACTGGGATGAGTTGAGCGTACTCTTAAAGCACATGCTGATCTTAAAGATGTGCTTAAGCCCTATGAGATTTGAAGGTAAGCTGTGTCTGACAGCATTGATGGCATGAGTCCTTCATCTCTTATTTTCTGATGTGCTTGTGGGTGGCCACTTAAATCTGCCACAGACAGCCCTCTGTTCCTGAGCTGAAAATTGCCACAGTCACTTCTATCTAGACTGTCAAACAATTATGATCTGGAAGCTTTGCATTTTGTAGCCACTTAGTGGAGTAGAAATGTTTCTAATGAAACAGTGGACACTGAATATTGTCTCTTTCCTTGTGCCTTCTAGGCTGGTCCTAGGATTTGATCTCTTGGTCTTTGTTTTTGGAAAGCTCCCAGTCGTCTTCTGTACTTGGCTGTGCATGTTCTGTGCCACAGTTATTGTTCCATACAACCTTTTTGTCTGGTGGGCCCAAGGCTACTACAGTTCCTCCCATCGTGTAATCCACTCTCTTTTCTATGGGATGTTGTTCACGCTCTTCCAAACAGCTGGGCTTGGATTTGGACCAACCTATATTGCTATATCGTATGCCCTGCCTCCAGCTTCCCGTTTTATTGTAATACTGGAACAGGTAGGTCCCTACCCAGTATCTTTGGATATGTTCAATCTTGTTTTCAAAATGGAAAGGGTCCTTTTTCATAAGGAGTCAAGTGTTGCTTTTATTCATTAAATTAAGCTAGGGCTGTGGATGAGTTTGTCTTTGACTTCAAGACAGACTTACAGGCAGCAAGTCTAATGAGACGAAGTAGGTGGTAAACTTCATTTTGACCTGGTAACCACTTGGTTTTTTTACCCTGTATTTAAAATTTTACTGCGGGGTTTTTCTGAACATACTTCAAGGCTGAATTTCTATTTATTTCTAGTTGTCTTGTGGATGCTAAATGCTTAAAACCAGTTTTAAGAACCTGTTGTACCATAGTTCACAAGGAAGCTGTAACATCCCTCTTTAAAAAAAAAAAAAAAAGACAAGTACGTAGTCAACAAGTGGTTCCTGTTTCCCTTTCTGTTCCCAAGAAGCAACTGTCTGTCTTGCAGTCAGAACTTTATTGAAAGTGGAATTTTCTTTTTCTGGAGAAGGAGAGGAAGAGTGCAAGAGTGTGGAGGAGTGGTTAGACCATCAGGTTAAAACAAGGATGTTCAGAGATGAGAGTGTAGGCTTAGAGAATTAACTTTGGACTAGTCCTTCTTTTGGTATTTCAGTGTTAAAACAAACAAAAAGCCCTGCTTGGTAGCTGTGGACTATTTATATGGGGCACCGCCTTATTCCAGTGTAGTGGTAATTGCTGTAGAACACATCTAACTTCAAGGAGTCGGTTTCAAGACTTTGAAACACACTGGCCTGTTGAAATGGATAGGGTTTTTTCCTTCAATTTTAAATTAATGTTAATTGGTTAGTGACTTGCTGGTGTTATTCAGAATCCTTGTGTATGATGTGGTCCTGTGAGTGTAGATGAGATGTGTTTTGACTCTCATGAGCCATGATTGTTTTACTGTAGGTTTCACCTTGCAGTGTTTTAAATTCATGTCAGTTAAACAGGCTTGTGGGCAGAGGAAGCAGCCCTTTCCTTGTGAAAGGGGTAGTAAATTGGAGAGAAACCAGGATGTTGAAGGTGTTACCTTAAAATGCTTGATCCAGTCTTTATTGGGAAGTTGGGAAAGTGAGAGTATTAAATTGATATTCTCTTTGTCTTACAGGTTCGTCTTGTTATGAAGGCTCATTCATTCATCCGGGAGAATGTACCCAGAGTCTTAGCCTCTGTAAAGGACAAGTCCAGTGAGTAACTTGCCCTGCTTTTTTTTGACAGCAGTGCATAACCAGCTCTTGTTTTCCCTCCACTGCTTTGAGCTGCCCTCATGAATTGGAGAGGTAGGATTTGAAAGGGTGGCTTTGGATGGAGAGGTCATGAGGCTCTAGGCTGGCCTTTTGCATCATAATTTTAGCCTGAACCTTTTTGTTTGGTATTAGGCAACAAGCTAGATTGTTGTTCAGGTCTAAGTCATCTCTGTATCTTGAAGTCTTTCTTCAACAGGACTCCTTATTTCTGCTTGTAGGAGGAAAAGGTGTTTAGGGGCTGCCTGCACACCTCCAGTTCAGTGCTCTAGTTGAAATGACAGCAACTGTAGAAGCACAGAAGCTCTTTCAGCAAGGCATGCTAGAGCTGGACATGAACCCACATGTTGATACAGGCGCTACAGGCTCCTATCTTCCCTAGGAGGAAAGGAAACGTGATATCAAGGTGTTAGCACTGCGCTGTTAGTCACTTGTTAACTGTGCTTCATGGCAGGGTGATTCCATCTGATAGGTCTAGTTTGTTGTATTCTCTGCAAATCCCATACCTTTAGTTCCAGACTGAGGGTTTTTTTGAGGTGATAAAGAGTTCTATGTTGTGAAAGGGTACTGGGGAAACCGAACTGTCGGTAAGAAAAAAACGGCAGTGTCTTTTTTTTTTTTTATTTCCCCCTCTTCCAGGCACAGTACCTATTCCCAGAATTTCTCAATACCTGTACTTCCTCTTTGCTCCCACCCTCATCTACAGAGACAACTATCCCAGGTAATGTGAGCAACACCAATAGAACATTAAAGTAGTCTAAAAACTGAAGCCAACATTAAGCATCCCTGGATGCGATCTATTCAATTTGAGTTGGAGCTTTCATAAAGATGTAGTTAAGTCAGTAACCTGGCAAGGGCAGGACTTGGTCACAAAAACTCACTCTAATACTAATAGTATTTTGACTTTACCATTCTGGTTTTATTTCTTTGGGAAGTGCACTTGAAGTGAAACAAATTAAGAACTTGCTACTGAATATTTCATGATACACAGTTCCTGCAGTAGGCTTGTGTGTTGTTTTACGTGGTGCTAATAAGCAGCCCTCTCTTGAGTTTGAAGAGATAGGCTGAAGCCTTTAAAACTGGGAACTCCCAAACTTTTCTGTACTTTGCTGGATTGCACTTCAACAGTGTCGAGTCAGCAGTCTTTTACGTGACTATCGGGCAGATCACCACCTCCTACGTAATTGCATAATGTGCCTTCCAGATACTTTTCCATTTATGGAATTGCCATAGTTGTCCTACTGTATTTGAAAGTGAAGCACCAGCAATTTGGGCAGACATCTTTTGGATGCCAGGAGATTAAGAACTCTGGGACTCAAAAAACAGATTTTTTTAGAGTATAGTTCGGTAAAGTGAGTAACAGAAGGGAGGTGTTTGCTGCTTTGGGGTCCTATTTAGATATCATATCATGTGTTCTTTTCCTTAGGAATCCCACGATAAGATGGGGCTATGTGGCTACCAAGTTTGCACAGGTGAGTAGTGCAGCTTTCCGAAGAATGCACTTTCAGATATTGTCTAAATTGTATTGCTAAACAGTTCTCCCTTTGGCATTAAATCACTGTTTACTTGGTGTGGGCTTAACAGAAAAGAATACTTTTCAGTGACTAAAAAAAGAAACAGAGATCTTGCTGCACTAATGGTTGTGTCAAAGAAAAAAAAATCCTTGCTTAAACAAACCTTTAGACTCTATTCTATACAAACCAAAGCTGTATATGTGTGTGGGGAGCGCAATATCTATGCTCTGGCGCTCTTTCTTTACAGTGATTGTACTGCACTGGCACAGCTACCTGTCTGCAGATATTCAGACCAATTTTGAAATAATGAGGCCTGGAGTCCAAATCTTCAGTGCTTATTTGAGCTTAAGGTTGACCTGATCTTCACATTTCTGGACGTGAGCTTCAATAGCTTCTTGTGAATGTGTTTCCAAGTAATGGCTTTGCGAGGAACAGCATGCATTCATGTTTTAAAAAGCAAAACAATTTTAAAAAAAAGGGAAAAACAAAGCATGAAAAAGACTTTGCTTGCTCTTTCACAAAAGAGAGTGACAAAGCACACACCTGGCTTACAGCAGTCAGAGTATTTAAAGCAGTGGCTTGCATTTTGACCTGAATTTCCAGAACATGGGTTCATGAGCCAGAGAAGGGCTGTAAACATCCCCTTTGGGCTAAAAGTAAGCTTTAATATTTGATTTAACTACAGTAAATATTTTTCAATTATTTCTTCCCTTGTCTTGGACCTAGATCACAGGATACTTTCCCCGCTTACTTTGGCATTGGCACAGATCTTTTATGTCCTAACTTCTGAGTTGATGTAGCTAGGAGAAACTTTTGCAGCTGCTGTACTAGAAAAGACAAGTTGATTTTGCTCCTGGCTGTCAACATGGTAGAGAGATGGCTGTGGCTTACTTTCTGCCTGGACCCTTAGGGAAGTTTATTAGCAGCAATGTAAAATAAATTATTTTGACTTGTGTTGGCAGCTGCTGTTACTCTTCTAGGACTGTCAAGGGGTGGTGTGTTAATTGTGCATTTTCTCTTATGGAGTCCAACTTTTGTTTTTGCTCCAGGTGCTTGGTTCACTTTTCTATGCCTACTACATCTTTGTGAGACTCTGCATTCCTCAGTTTCCCAATGGTAGTCAAGAAACCTTCAATCTTCGAGGGCTGGTCCTCTGCATCTTCAACTCCATTCTGCCAGGTAAGACCCAGATTCATTAGTGACTATGGAAGAGGCAGAAGGGAGGGGAAATGCTTCATATGAGATGCATTCGTGATAGGCAAGGATCAGCAAAGGAGGTCTTGTGGGCAGACTTCAGCATTATGGTGTTAAACTTTAGAGTCAGCAACACAAAATAAAAGCTTGGGTTTGAATTTAACTGTCTTCTAAGTCAAGTTCTAGGCTCTGTGGCAACCTTGCTATTGCCCACTGGGTAAACATGGCCTAGTGTGGAGAGAAGCTGAAATGCTTTTACTCTTTTGTATAGGTAGCATAAAGCTTATCTGTGTCAGTGCCTGTAAGAACAGTCTTGACTGCATTACATGTTCTTGCTTATAGCTGAGAGAAAATACTACAAAACCAGTCTGAATCTACCTTATTTCTAGGTGTACTGATTCTCTTCCTCGTTTTCTTTGCATTCCTTCACTGTTGGCTTAATGCGTTTGCTGAGATGCTGCGCTTTGCGGATAGGATGTTCTACAAGGTAAGAAGCAGGAGTTATAGTTTATAAAAGCAAGGGTTATAAAGCTTCTAAAATACATTTTCCTAATGAAAAGGAAAGAAGAGAAAACTGAAGATTGTTTTACCAAACAAAACATCCACAGGTTTTTGCTTGCTTATGCTGTTAGGGCTTAAGTTTGTTGTGGTGCTGTGGAACAGATCTGACTTCTACTTGGCAGTCTGAATTGTTTTTAAGGTAATATACCCTGTGCACAAACAGAACCAGCCACCAGACCTACCCAGTAGTTCTGTTAGCACTCTTTTTAATCTTTTATCGTCTCAGCCACTGCAGTTTGGGATGAAACCAAACTTAATATACAGAGTAGAACGGTGAAAGTGCAATGGAATGCATTATTTCACAGTGCAACTTATATTAGCTTGGTATTATTGTGATCAATATTTTTCAACTTGATATCCCAGAAAAGACCTGTAGAATGTTTTATGCTTAATTAGATTTATACTCTTTCAACTGTGTTTTCAGGACTGGTGGAACTCCACTTCTTATGCAAACTACTACCGAACCTGGAATGTGGTAGTACATGACTGGCTCTATTACTATGCCTACAGGGACTTCCTTTGGGTGAGTAACAAGCAGATGTATTCTTTTTGTTAATTAAACATTTAACCACCAAGCAAGACAGTACATTTGTCAAGATGCAGCATCACTGTCTATTGAGAAGCACAAAAATGCCTTGCCTCAGCTGTTGTGGGTAGCCACTGTGCTTTTTAGAGATCTGTTGCTCATTTCCAAGTCCTTACTGTGTGTAGAATATGGGCCTGAGATGTAGGAGTGTAAGGATTGACTCAACAGTCTGAACTCATGTTGTACTATTTTGATGAGCTATGGTAGATGCTTCATGAGTGGGCTCAACCTGAGTGCTTATGCAGGAGACTGGAAGTATGCCTAAAGAAAAACCTAAAATCCAAGGTACTCTGTGAAGCACTTAGCATTTCATGTATGCCTCTTGGCTGGAGCAGGCAAAAAAACCCAACCAAAACCAATGTTGAAACAATGAAACTAAAAACATAGCAGAGTAGTTTATAATACTTGGTATTCTTCTCTCTTCCAGTTTTTTGGTAAGAAGTTCAAAGCAGCAGCTATGCTATCTGTCTTCACAGTATCAGCTGCTGTGCACGAATATGTTCTGAGCATCTGCTTTGGCTACTGCTATCCAGTTCTCTTTTGCCTGTTTGCATGCTTTGGAAGTAAGTTCCCAGGAAACAGTATATGAGTGGGTTGTGGGTTTTGTGAATTGTGGGGGTTTTGTTTGGTTTTCTTTTTTTTTTTAAAACAAGAATGCTTTGCTCTTCTGATGCCAGTTATCCTTTGGGCACTAACACACGGAACTGTTTCTTGTCCAAGAGTTGCAATTGTGGGTCCAAACTTTGTGAATGGATTTTTGCAGCCAAGTAGCTTAATAGATATATGTATACATTGGGTTTGCAAGCTTGGGACTTAGATGAGCAAGGTATGGATGGGGAGGAAGAGAGAGAGGCTGCTGTTCATGTGACACTGTACATATTAAAATAGCGCTGCTTCCTGTTTGCCAAGCCTTAGTTGAATTGCTGCATGTCAGCAGGCTGGAAGTCTTCCTCTTTAAAGTCATAGTGTAAGACAAGTATTACTTTGCTACTGCAGTGAGGAAGAGAGACCATTTAGAAGTTAAAGCTCTAGCATTTCATTTTGGGTTTTGAGTTTGAACAAGTTACAGGGCTCTAATAAACTCTAGGCCACCTCTGCCAGCATGTTTTGGTCACCAGCATAACACAAACAGTATTGATCCCCAGAGGCTTATAGCTGGGCCAGCTTGTTGGCAAACTTATTGGAAGTAAATGTCAGAATCATCTCATAGTATTTGCTCTACTGCCAGGCATAACCAGATTTTCTTGCACTATGCTGACCTCACAGAGCAGCCTTGTTGCTCCAGAGATGAAGTGAAGGGAGCGAAAGATCCCGTGAAATCAGTTGGTCTTTGATTCTTTAATCCTGAGTTTGTTTCTGAACGATGTTTCTCATTTCACCTCTTTCCAGTGGTCTTCAACTTCATCCTTAATGACCGTCGGAAAGGGCCCATCTGGAATGTGATCATGTGGACATCCCTCTTCCTGGGCCAAGGTGTCATCATTTGCCTCTACAGCCAGGAGTGGTATGCCCGCCAGTACTGCCCTATGGAAAATGTGAGTGACTGGCCTTTCCTGTGGGATAACTGACCATGCGAGTGACTTGTCCTTTCTTGCTGTGGAGACAGGGCAAAAGTTAAATGGCACGAGCCTTTCTGGCAGTATGCTGTATCTGTTCATTAGGAGTTATTTAGTCTAGAAACTGTAGACAATCTAGGAAAGCTTTTTCTAACAAAAGTGCTTTCATTAGTGCTCTTTCTATGCTGATAGTATTTCACTACTTGAAACTGAGAGTGTTTTTCTGACATTTCTGAGGACATAAGCCATTACTTGAGAGTATGCTAGGCCATTCAAGCCCTGTGAATGGAAGTGCAGCACTGGGCCAATGAGGTCAGGAGAAACTTTTCTAGGAGGTCCACAAAAACAGCTTGTTGGGCCTCTCCCAGGCTAGAGTGGGTGGCAGTGAGAATTGGTTGCCTATAAATGGTCAGTTTGGGGTTTTGTTGGTGTTACGTTCTCTGACTTACAACTCATTTTCTTGGTACCAGATTCTGTTCTACATAAAACTTCTTGCTGTCCTAATTGATTTCAGTTTTAACCAAAGGTATCCTCAGGCAAACTCTTATTTTGATTCTCCTCAGTTAAGAGTGTGCCATCCTGAATGACTGGCTTCTTGATGCAATATGCTACTAGACTCAGCATTTACCTGATGTATCAGAACTGGGGTTAAGGTGGGTGACAGGCAAACAGCTTGTGGCTGTAGCTGCACTTACACAGGCTGTTTAGTGAGGATAAGAATAGGGTTGCAGGATGTGAAAATGTGGTTTTATCTTTCCTGTTGGGGAAGTTTGACTTCAGCAGACCACACCACAGCTGGTGCTGTTTGCCTGTGACTAACTTACTGCCTCTCCATGTTTTGCAGCCCACATTCCTGGACTACTTAAAACCACGTTCATGGTCATGTCATATGAAGATGTAAAAATGGTATGCTCTGGCTGTGTCATCGCAGAAGATCAGAGTTGTCCTCCAAGTATTTGGACCAATGACCTAACTCACTACAGACTTTTTCTAAGGGAAGTTGTGCCTCCTGATTATTGGGGAGAAACTATAATTTTTTTTTAAACATCACTGAGGCAAACCAGTTGACCTGGATTGCAACAGGCTTCATAGACAGCATCTACTGTGTGCTGTCCCACTTTGAGCCATTTCCATGCCAGTAAAACATTGAGCTGAAGATGGAGTCTACTGGAATCCTACTCATCCAGGGGTCCCCCCCCAAGTTGCTGCTCTTCTGGACAATAGATAGTCTAGTCAGATTTGCTAGTAGCTCATTGTTGGCGTCCGTCCATCTTCCTTAGCCATCCCTTTGCAATTTTTTTTTCTCCTTTTTGGTAATGGGGTGTCTACAAAACTTCTATTCTTTGTGATCCTGTCTGCTGCTGTGATGCAGACAAGTGGCAGAGCAACAGAGTATTTGCCTCCTTGCTCTGAAGATAGCCAAAGTATTCCTGGGTGGCTTTGAACTGTATTCTATGTATGTTGGCTGCCTACAGATTTAAAATAGGCAGAGGAAGGGGGGATTGTCAGTTTACTTGTGGCTGCATTGGAGAATCAGGGCACAGCATGTGCAGTCTTTATATGACTTTTTACACTGAAAATTTGTTTTCTCTGTATTCATTTAGTTCCCAACTGACTTACAGCATTTTTGTTCTCTGAAGGCCCTTGTGACTTGAGGACTAGTTTTTCTTCTAGCTCTTCCTTTCCAAATAATCAATTCTCTTAATATAATTAACACATAAAAGAGCTTTTGCTTTTATTTAGCAGGTGCTTTAAGGTATACAAATTAAGACTTTCTTTAGTGTGAAAGATTTGAAATACTGTGACCCAAGTGTAAGAAAACGCAGTCAACTTTACAGGTACATAGCACATTCTCATCTGAAATGGCTACGTCCAGTTCAATATGCCCGCACATCTTGGTGCCTCTCACCAACGTGTAATGGCTTCTAACAGCGTTGGTGGGAAATGAGGGTTGACCCAGTGGCTGGAGTCGGAGCTGCTTTTTCATCTGCCTGCATCTGCTCTTACACCAGTGGGGACTTCAGGTGAAGACCAGTTTCCTAGGTATTGCCCTCTTCCTTCTGAAGAGGTAGGACATCCTCCCATACACACTGATAAAGGGAGAAGCATTATGTGAATCTGGCGTTTCAGTATCTATTAATTAGGCAGGGTCCCTTCAGTTTCCTTGTTCTGTCAGATGCTAAGCACAAAAGGGAACTTATGTAGTATTTGGGTATGCATCTCCCCAGTTTTACTGGAACTGCAGCTCCCATTATTGGAGAGGGAGGGTCACGATGGAGGTACCTTAACTTTGGTCACAGGGATTTCTGAATTACTCAAATGTTCTTTATTGGCATTTCTTGGCAACAGCTTTTCCTTACTGACCTACAGCCTAGGTATTGAATACCAGCAGTACTAGGACTGTTGATAGACTTGTCTCCCAATCCACTTATGACTATCTTTTGGGCTTCTATTTTTACTAACCTGAGTCAAAAGTAATTTCATGAAAGCTAGGCGATACTTAAACTCTTCTGGGTTTTCAGCTTCCTGAAAGAAGGAATCCTGCTTTTCAGAAAAGACATTGTGTCAGGTCAAACTTGCCAAATACAGTGTTTGCATATGTGACTCTCCTCTGAAAATATCTTCTACTAGAAATTGTTTGTTGAAACAGTTGGGTTAATTTCAGAGGAAGGCGTTCATGTATATACTCAGATTTGGCAGTATTGGTATATAAAATCCTGAGAATGAAATGGATTACTTTATCCTCATTCAGTTTGATTAATCTTAAATCTTTCACCGTACCTTTTGTGGGAGGAAGGCACAGAAATGCTGGAGCAACTAAGCTTCCTTTTTGGAAAAAACAAACAAACAGAAAACAAACAAAAAATCCCACCCTTTGGCCAAACTGCTTTGTCAGCTCCTTAGTATAGGATGAAACTCAGTCTGGTACTACTTAGTTGTGGTGCTCAAAATGCTTATGTACAGTTGTAATTGCACTCACATAGGGTGTGATGGATTAGGGACTCGATTTGTCTTGATGCCTGTGTCAGGTCTTGCTACTGTTGTCAGTGTTCTCAAAAGGAAATCAAATCATGGTACTTTGTGCCAAGTTTTGGTGTTTCCCTTGCAGCTGGCGCTGTCATATTCCTAATAAAGAATATCAGCATTTACTGTGTCAGCATCCTCAGTGCTTGAAGCCTGAGGGCTTGAGCATCTGGCAAGCAAAAGGCAACCAGAAAGGGATGCTCAGCTGTTGCAACTAGTCTTAGTTTTTGACAGGTTGAGGTTTTTAGCCTTGCAGATCGAGGCATCTGGCAACTGTGCTGTCAGAGTGTTAACAATTGGGATTACTTTCAATTTCATGGGGGTTTTTTTGGTTTTTTTTTTTAATTGCCTTTGAATTTGGGCTTATTTTTGTATTTCTCAAGAGTATTGGAGGGCAAATACTAAGTCTTTTGCACATTGCTTGTTTAATTAGAGTCAGTTATACCATGTTAGAGTTTTTTTTAGGCTGTGAGTGCCAGAGCTAGCAGTATGGTGTTCTGGACAATAATGAGGATGCTGAGGTTCACAACCTGCCCTTTACAAGTTCTTAATAATAATATATACTGTTTTCTGTGGTTCTCTCCAACACAAGAATTGTGCAGCTTGCTTCCATGGTAACTCCCTCAGTTCCAAGGTGGGAAGCCTCCAGCTTTTGAGTGGCAACCTGTCCAGCTGCAGCTCCTTGCTCAATAACATCACAAAAATCAGTATTAGTATGGTGAAATGTGTCCTGGTTTTGGTGCAGGTGACAGTTTGTTCTCAGGAAGGCTGAACCTGTGCAGAGTCTTCATGCCTAGTATGTCCTTTCTGTTGGGGTATTTAGGTTCTGGCCTTCGGAGCTGAAGCAGTCCTGCCTCTGAGCTGCTAACTGTATGCTATCCTGTGACAGCTAAGGCATGTGCTGCGTGCTGTGGTGGGAGGGGGGGCGGGAAATCCTGATGTATTTTTTTAATATGAAATAGCATGGATTACGTGAATCAGGCCACTCGCTAAAGGAAAACTGAACTGAGCTTGCACCTTCTGAATGTAGATGGGCTGGAAGGACAGTGGTCCAGCATAAGTGTGAGCAAGCCCACACACTCTGTGGCATCAGGGTAATGAACCATCTCCCTGCAGTACCTCTGAGGCAGCCAAGTTCAGCCTCGTCTCTTCTCCCTGTGCTTGCAGCCGGGGCAAGAAGCCATCGCTGCCCCTCCGCCATGGCAGGGGAGAGGTGCACAAGCAGAGGGTGGCCCAGCAGCCGCCGCACACTGCTGCCTGCCCCAGTACCAGTGGTTCCCTGTATGCAACCTGTACCGTGTTCTGTCACGTGAAAGACCTGTTTATAATCTACTGTATTACAGCAGTTGAAATATATTTTGCTATTAGGGGAGCAAAAAAAAATTGCCTTGGCCTGTTTCTTTCTTCTCTGAGGCTCGTGATTTGGGGGTGTGGGGGGGTCTTGTAGGAGGGTATAGGGGAGTGGGCCTGGGGCAGGGTAAAGTATGTGGGGTTGCTCTCCTGGGAAGGTGGCTGCTGTGGGGAGAAGGTGTGGGTCAGAGCCTTGTGGGGCTGGGGAGGGAGAGCATCTTCTAGAACGTGGGGAGAGCCCTGTGTTTCCATAGCGATGGAGCCAGGGAGGAGCGGGCTGGCAGGTACGGGGAGGGGGGGCCCTCTGCTGCTCCCCATACTGGGAGGGGGGAGCTGGCCTACCTTGGGGGTCTGGGGGCTGCAAGCCTGTGGGTGTGATGTGGCCTCAGGCTGCCTGTACCCGCAGCTCTGGGGAGTCCCTGGCACAGCTGCCTCCCAGCCCTCTTGGATGGGGCTGCAAGTCTCCCCCTTTCCAGGGGCAAGGAGGGGAGAGGGATGGAGACAGCCGTGCCATGGCAGACCCCGGCCTGGCGGTACCAGGCAAGACTGCTGGAGGGTAGGGAGGAAATCGCCTTGGCTGGGTGTGTAGGAAGAAACTTTTTTACACAAGCCCTTCTTGAGCTCTTAAAAAGAAGCAGACAATGTCAGAGCTAAATACCAGCTGAGAAGGATCGTTGGGGTTTTATAAGCTGTATATCAGCCATCACATCTCTGCAAGAGGAAAGGACGCCCTTGGAAGTGCTGGAGAGGAGCCCGGGGAAGGAGTTGATAGCTCTTGGAACAGACCAGAGTTTCTAACCTCTCCCCATTTAATGCATATTAAATAGGAGCAACTGCCAAATGTATATCATGTTGGTGATTTCTGCCTTTATTTGGGGCCTGAAAAAGATTTGTGTGCCAAGGACTTAATGTGATGTTTTCCAGCTGTGTACCAGATGCTCTAAAGTAAAGTCTTTTCTGTGTCCTTAAACTGTAGCTGCTACAGAACAGTGCCATTAATCTTCCCATCCTTTTTGGTAGGAATATCATGTACTGCCAGAGCCGTTAAAGGAGAAAAAAAAAGTTCCCTTCTGTCAGAAGTTTTTAGCATATTTTTGCATTTTCCTTCCAAGAAACCATTTACACAGCAAGACAATAAACTACCTGGCAAGATTACTCCTAGATTATACCTACACCCACAAACATGTATCTTAAGGCAAAGAAATGTAGTTAACCTAATTAGAAACCGCAGTACACAAGGATACAGCTGATGAGGAGGCCAAAAAGTTTTAATACCAAGAGCACTTTATAAAGAACAATATATATTGGCAAGGCTAGTGGCGGGGGGGGGGGGAGGCCTCAGCTGAGAATTCATGGAGATTACGAAACTAATGTAAACATAATTTTTTTCATTAGTAAGATATTGCTAAGAAAAGTGGTAAGATTAATAATTGGAGTCAAATATAATTAAATCTCTGGCCCAGTTAAATATATAAAAAAAGTGGTGGTTCTTAATGCAGTTTGTAGGTGGAAAAACAAGCATCCCTACGGAGGCCGTAGCAAAGCATCAGGGGCTTCTTCCTAACTGATGTACCGGGTGTCAGGCACAAGCGTTTGGGTTTTTTCCACAATAAATAACAAAATAAGCTGTTAACCCTGTGAAGGTACAAATGTGGGTTTAACTCTGTTTCCAGATTGCTTGTTACTGCAAATTTCCTTGGCTAAGCATTAAAGTAAATTGAACATTCACCATGGCCACAACTGGAGCGCCAGTTCCTGGACCAAAAGTCAATGGGAGGAAACTGAGCGGTGCCCCGCGGGCAGGCTCAGTCGGCAAGGACCGGTCAGGTAGGGCTGGGCTGGAGCCTGCGGGGGTTCTACATCTGACTCTTCATCCTGCCAGCTTGCCTTTAGCAGCGGGATGCTTCTCTGCATTAAGTTTTGCTTTTATTTAGGCTGATGTTTTAGGGTGTTAGTATCTTTGCAGAAAGCTGACTGCTAGCAACCCACAAGAAGGGAAATGGCTTTACAGAAACACACAAATTTTAGTTGTTCACGGCATCCCTTGGTGTCTGTGTACATGACAGCTTGGTGCAGTGGTGTAACCAGTGCGTTATCTCACGGTTAGAAGGTAACTTCTGTTCTAGGCTTCACCAAAGATCTAACTGCTAAACACAGGATTAGGTCCTGCTTG